GTGGTTCACCCTCTTTCCACCTCCCCATGCTTTGTGCCCTAGTTTATAACAAAGGAATGATGATAATTTAAAAAGTAGTTCTGTATCTTCAGTATCTTGGTCTTCCAGAACCCTCTGGTTGGGAAGGAGATCATCTGCTACTAGTCATTTCCTTTGGGAGTGTAGCTGCTCCAACAGATGGAGAGAACCTCACTGGCCGTGGAAACAGCAGAGGTGTGGCAGCCCAACAGAGCAGGGCACTGTTCAGCATCTGGTTTGGTTGGTCTGGTTGTCGTCATTGTCAAGCAGTGCCACAGGATGGGAAGGCTTGACTGCACAGATGATGGTTTCCACGATGATCACTGCATACAGATTGATCACACACAAGGTGACAGTTCTAGGGCACACAGGCCATTTGCTTACATGCCTCATATCATGATTAGTGCTTTGTATAACAAGGAAGAGAAACTATTTATTTTTATTTAAGGCAGAACACTGAAGATACCTTTTTCCAATACAGAACAAATTCTTTTTTAATAAAGGCTACAACACAAAATTAATTTTTTTTTAAAGTTTGACTCCACGTCTTCTATCTCCCAATAGGTTATTGGCCATGTTTACCGAGGTCCACAATATCCCCATCATCGGAAACATCTGGAATCTCCACATTACCTAGGAGAAGGGTCCAGAAAAAATTTGGTTTTTGTTTTTAACTTATTTAGATGTTTGGCATTGGACAGACACATCCACAGGTGGGACAGATGCCTGGCAAAAACACCTGCCTGTTTTCTAAGCCAGTGAGGTTGAAGTGAGAGGTTTGCCAGAGTTTGTCTACCTCTGGGATTAAAAAAAAAAAATCAGAAGGCACGATGGAATGGGTGCATCGCAAACAATGCATTTTCTGAGTTTTCTTGTTTAAAAAAGTTTTTTAAAAAAAGTTTTAAAAAAGGTAATAACATGGCCAATTTGTTACATAAAATGACTTTCTGTGTATAAATTATTCCTAAAAAAGTTTGCTGTTTATATAAAAAAAAATCAGTAGATGAAAAAAATGTCAAAATGTTTTTGTATATTCTGTTGTATGAATTTATTCCTGTTATCTCAAGACTTTGGATTCTTTACATTATGGGGAAAAAAGAAACTTTGTCTATTTTGAATGGCGGAAGCTAAGGCAACTTTAGTTTCTCTTACTCTGCTTTTTTCTAGTAGTTAAGTACTACATGGTTTAAGTTAAATAAAAGAATTCTGTATGCATTTTTTGTCTCTGATTTTTGTCTCCTGCCTTTCTGGAAGCATCACCCACACTTCTGTGGCAGGGATGGTGAGCTCCACATGGCCTGTGTGTTCACACATGGTGCTTGGCCATGTTCTTCAAGAAGACACTGCCTCGTATCTGACAGCTGAACCCTCTCAGCATGCAGATTGCTGGTGAAGATGAGAAGCTATCCTGTTACTCTGTTAGATCAGCAGGAAGGAAATCGGAATACGTAAAATACAGAAATCTGTACTTCATTTTTGGCTGATGTGCAGACTTTTTCCCTGTACTTTCCACTGGCAAAAGTCAGGCCAAGGTGTGATCTGTGTCACTCTGGGGCAAGAGGACTTCGGTTCTTCGAGTTTCCTGTTTCCTTGTTGCTACCTTACACTCTGAGGGTTGCGAAGTAGGCCACATGGGATGTGGCTCTCTGGAGGTGTTCCAGAAAGCCACTATCTAGCTGATGATGAGTGATCTCAGCCTGTCCCCAGGGACTCTACAATCCGGACATCGCTGTCTTTATCAAAGGAAATGGTTATCAAAAGGGTCTAGAGTCAGACCAAAGATGCAGAGACCTACAACATGAGGAAAATAATCTGGACATTTCCTTCCATCATGGGAGATGGAGCTCCAGTAACAAAAGCCCATCTGATGAAGAGCTGAGTAGCAAGGCCTGGGTAGCAAATGACCTAAACACAGAAGGCTTGGTGTTGCCTCCAGGTTTTTGCTCCCCATTGTTGCTGTATGCCTGGTACTCAGAGGACCTTCGCTAGGTGACTGATGACTTAAAAAGGTCTCATTTCTGAGGCTAGCGTGCCCAGGGTGGCCCCCTCCTCCTGTCCTGGGCAGGTGGAAGCCACACTTCCTGATGGCTGTGGTGCCCTCTGTACTGGGCAGCCGGAAGGAGCCCCAGTGTGTGAGGGTGAAGGTGCTGGGTCTGTAGACTCCAGACCGAGGAGGGCTGCTTCTGTATCTATCCCCGCAGGTGCAGCTATGAGGTAGGTGTGCATTTTGTGTGGTGTCCCATTGTCACTGAAGGACTTCCACATCCAATCTCTCAGCAGATACTCTGTCACCCTGCGAAGGAAGGATGTTAATTACTCTGTTTTGTAGATGAGCAAACACGCAGACGTGCCAAGGGCTCCAGCTACCAAATGACCAACTCAGGACTCAGCCTTTATGCTGTGGTTTTCAGACTGACTCAGAACTGCCGGAACCAAGCAGGCCTCAACACGTGGGGACAGGGGATGTCAGGACATGTGCACAGCCAGGAAGCGAGCGGGCCTCTGAGGAGAATGTCAGAGACTGAGGGGAAATGATGGAGAGGCTCATCACGGGGAGCTGTGGGCCTCCTGTCTGGATAATATCTGAACGGTTTAAAAATGTATATGGCATGATGCCAAGCAGTCTGAAATGACATGGAGCTTGGTCCCGGAGGGGCCCTGCTTGCCAGTGCCTTGGGACGGGAGTTGGGCTCAGTGACATCAAGGGCTCTGGGCAGCAGCCATCATGCCCTTAAGCATAAAAGGATGTGAGCCGCACATTAACAGCCACACAGCCAGACCTTCGGGCACCACCTGGCACCATCCCACCTCACCTGCTGGCTTTGATCTGCCACAGTGTGACTTTGATCTGTTTTATGTCAAATGATCCAGGTTTATTTGCAAAGTGGTTCTTAGAAAGACTATTAACGAATGCACAAGTGTGCTGCTGGGGCAGCGAGACAGGCACTTTTTCTTCCAGTGAGTGAATCTGGGCACTAGATGACTGACTTTTTAACATATAATTAAATGTTAGCTGGTAGTTGTGAGCACACCAACATTAAGAAATCCCCCCAGAGCCGGTGCGGTGGCTCACACCTGTAATCACAGCACTTGGGAATCCAAGACAGGCAGATTGCCTAAGCTCACAGGTTTGAGACCAGCCTGAGCAAGAGCGAGACTCCGTCTCTAAAAAATAGCCAAGCATGTGGTGGACACCTATAGTCCCAGCTACTCCAGACTCTGAGACCAGAGAATCACTTAAGCCCAAGAGCTTAAGCACTCTACCAAAGGCAACAAAGTGAGACTCTGTCTCAAAAAAAAAGAAAGAAAAGGCAGCGCTCATAGCTCAGTGGGTAGGGCACCAGCCTACACTGAGGCTGGTGGGTTTGAATCCAGCCTGGGCCAGCTAAAGCAATGACAACTGCAACAGAAAAATAGCTGGGCATTGTGGCAGGCACCTGTAATCCCAGCTACTCTGGAGGCTGAGGCAACAGAATCACTTAAGGCCAAGAGTTTGAGGTTGCTATAACACCACAGCACTCTACCAAGGGTGGCAGCTTGAGACTCTGTCTCAAAAAGAAAAGAGAGAAGAAAAAAGAAAAATTTCCCAGAGCTTAGCTAATTTCACTCACTTCCTTAAATAAAAAGGAAAAAGCAAAACAGTTACCAACCGAGCCCCCGATGGAAATTTGCCCCTAAAAGACACTGAACAAGTAGAACCTTGCTGGGAGCAGGTTGGCACAAAACTCAGTGCAGTGTCATAAAATCAAAACAAAACAGAAAGGGGATTCTGTGTTCTTAAAGTTAGGGCTAATACCACAGACAGACGCTGAGCCATTTGCATTAATGCCAAATACCACTAATACAATATAAAGTGGTGCGGTTGGTATGGAAAACATGATGGTGGCTCCTAAAAAAATTAAACACAGAATTATCATTTAATCCAGCAATTCACCTCTACACAAAAGAACTGAAATCAGGGACTCCAACAGGTATCTGCACAGCCATGTTTATAGCATCATCATTCACAACAGCCCAAAGGTAGAAACAACCCAAGTGTTCATCTACGGGTGAAAGGATAAACAAAATGGTCTGTGCATACAAGGGAATATTATTCAGCCTTAAAAAAGAATGAAATTGTTACAGGAGGCTACAACATAGATAAGCCTGGAGGACATCTTGCTAAGTGAAATAAGGCAGACACAAAAGGATGAATACAAGATTCCACTTAGGTACCTAGAACATTCAAATTTGTAGGGATGGAGGGTGGGAAGGTGGTTGCCCAGGCCTGAGGGGCAGAAGGAATAAGTAGATATTGTTGAATGAGTACAGAGTTTCAATTTTTAATGACCAGAAAGTACCAACAATGGATGGTGGTAATGACTGTACAATAATATAAATGTACCAAATGCTACTGAACTGGACACTTAAAAATTACTACAATGAGTAAGTAGCAAGTGGGTGAAAAATGGGGACAGGGAGAGAAACCAAACACCAGAGCCTCAGTGGCTCCAAAGCTGCTCCCAGGACCCAAATGCACCAGTGTGGCGTGCAGGACCCAAATGCACCAGCATGGCATGCAGGATCAAAGCACCGGGGGCAGCCACTGTGTCTCTGTCTCCACTGGCCTTGGCAAAGCAGGTCTGTGGTCCCAGCAATCTGGGCAGGATCTCACAGACCCACTATATCATCTTTCAGAAGAAAACAGATTACTAAAATTTCATTTCAGGGAAGCCATAACTGAAGTTAGTTTCATCACTTGTGAAATGCCTGCCTTTCAGAGTGTTCTTTCTTCCCACAGTGGAAGAACCCTTCATGATTTTGTTGGGCTAATTCAGAATTTTTCTCCCTCTCGATAAACTGTTTCATAAGCAATTCTGTAGAAAGGCTCTCAAAGCACGGTTAACTCTACACACAGGATGGAGATATTCCATTTTTTCTAAAGATGCCTTCCCCAAGTGGCTCACTTTGGCTAGATTGACTGTGGCCGAGTTTTCCATGAGTCAGGCTTTGCTCCTGGGCTTTCTCACACTCTTCTAGCATTTTCCGGATGATGATTTGCAAGGCTCTTCCCAGCAGGCTGGCCGAGACCCGCAGCGACAGTGGAGGGACATGAATGAGAGCGGCAGACCCACATCCATGATGCAGGGACAGGTAATAGGTGTAATCGCAGACATATCTGCAAACCGCAGAAAATTCTATGTTACTTCCCTGACTAGCTCTACCCTTGGCAGAACATAAGCAGCGGTGGCCACACAACATCCACAAAGCATGAGGAGCAGGGACTGCACCCAAGGAGACTTCAGTTTCCTTTTCTGCCTCAGAAGAAACACATTGTGGGGATGAGCTGGGGGAGTGCTTGGCTCTGAGTCTCATGGTCTCAGACAAGCAAGCAGCCAAGACAGAAAGGGACTACCGAGTTCAAAACACCTTTATCTCAGTGAGTCCCTCTGTCACCTGTCTTCATGGAGTTATTTATTCACTCCTTGGGGAGAACAGAAACTGCCTGCTGGGGGGGTCAGAGTTTGGAGAAACATGGTAAATTAATCTTCATCTGGAGCTAAACCAGTATCATTAACAACTTTGGTCCTCTCAAAAAATCAAAATAAAAAGGCATAGACTGGGTGCAGTGGCTGATGCCTACAATCCCAGCACTCTAGGGCCAAGGTGGGAGGATCACTTGAGCTCAGGAGTTGAAGACCAGCCTGAGCTAGAGTGAGACCCCATCTCTACTAAAAGTAGAAAAATTAGCCAGGCATTGTGGTGGATGCCTGTAATCTCAGCTACTTGGAAGGCTGAGGCAAGAGGATTGTTTGAGCCCAAGAGTTTGCAGTTGCTGTGAGCTATGATGCCATAGCACTCTACCAAAAGTGAGTGCTAAATGTTAGTGGCTCTCAAAATCTGCCTTCCCTTCTCCTGTATCAGTACACCAAAGACTACATTATGGGGAGGGCATCTTGGAAATGACATCTCAAACAGGACAGCAAAGAGAGGCCATCTGGGGTGGCACTTCCTGATCTCATGGCCACATGGCCAGATGGATGGTACAGGATGGTAGGGGGGACGCTAAAGTCCAGTCCTTGTCTCCCGCCTGCTCAATACCCTGACACCCAGAAAAGCATACCTGCCTGCATCTCGGGAAAAGGCCACCTCGATATCCTCAATGACAATGCATCTGCATACTGTCTTCATGCTGACCACAGATGTGATCACTTCTGGGCCTCCTGGGAGGCACACACCATCCTCAGGCCGGAAGCCCCGGACATCAGCATCCCGGTAACCTCGGTTCTTGCCACACTGTTCTAGAACAATTGCTTTGCCAGAGGTGTCCATGCCCACATGGACGGTGAGCTGTGCAGACACAAGATAGCAGAGACATACCAGGAAATCAGGGCCCACCTTGATGTGCAAGGGCCAATCCCTGGGAAAGCCCAGCTCCTGGGTGCAAAACATCCGAACCCCTAAATCCACCATGAAACCCCAGGATGCCCTGGCCTATGTTTCATAATTAATAGAGTTAGAACAAAAACAGCTGGGTTTATTTAGCTGACTAGAAACCCATGTTGCATTTACATTTAAATACTTATATTTCAAAATATTCTTTACAGGGCGATGTATTCTCTCTCTTTTTTTCCCTATGGGGGGAGTGGCAAGCTGGTTTCTCAGACTGCCAGAGGAAAAGTTTAGTGTTTTGGTGCAATTGTTTAATTCTTTGTCACGAAACTTTAATAAAGGATGTTAGTAGTAGTAGTTAAATTCTACCAATACAATCTTGGTAGAATTTATCCAGGCCCATTATTTTTCCTCTTTGAAAAATAGCTGCTGAGTATTTTACCACAATATTTAGGGCATTATGGGGTAACTGAGACTATAGTTGCACACCACCATGCCTAGCTAATTTCTTCTAATTTCCTTTAGAGACAGAACTCACTGTGTTGGCTAGGCTGGTCATGAACTCCTGGGTACAAAGGATCCTCCTGCCTTGGTTTTCTGAAGTGTCAAGATTACAGGCATGAGCCCCCGTACCAGAGTTTTATATGTTGATTATACAATGGGCTGGGTGGGCCACACTCCCTCCTGCACTACTGGGCCCAGGAGGTCTTTGTGCCATATCCCACTCACAGCCAACCTGCCCACAGGGGCATGTGTGTGTCATAGTTCCTTAGATGAAACTATTTTGAATCTTGGCTGGGAATACTTCCATTTTTTTCCTCCTCTTCTCTCTCCAAATTTTCTTTTAGGACCTATTCCATATTTCAACTTAAACTTTTAGAAACAGACCTACTCAGAACCTTACAAAATCATCTGGGACTTCACCTTATTGTTGGAACATAGGCACAAGGTGTGTTTCCGCCATCAACCCTGGAGCCAGGGCCCAGCGGGTTCACAGGCTCTGGGGCCATCGGGGGTTCATAGGCTCCAGGCCCCACCTTGTTAGGAGCCGCCCACCCCATGTCTCCTCCAGCTATCAGTTACCTGTGGTTGGAGATCTTCCCAGATTCTGGCGACCCTCTGCCCTGCCGCCCTGTAATCCACGTGCAGCTGAAGAGTCTGTAGCTCCAGCTCCACATCACTGCCCAGACCTAGCTTTGAGAGCTCCTGTGGAAAGAAGTGAGTGGGCTTCCCTCAGTGGATGAGAGATGTGGGGGAGACCCTGAAAACCCAGCCTTTGGGGTCTACTCCCAGGGGTCTTCAGTGGGCCTGGACCCTGTCTTCAAGGAGCCCACACAGTGTGAGCCATGGTTCCTGCCCCATGAGGCAAGTACTACTCATAGCTGCCCTGTCAAGGTGGGGAACCCCTGAGAGGCGCATTTGACCCAGCCACATTTACAAAGGGGCTGCAGGTGACTTCTGTGCCCAGGTAGGGTGAGTCACATGAAGATGCCAAGAGGCTGCAAAGATGGAGGGGGCACAACAGCCTGAGGCCTGTGGGGAGTTAGCTGTGACACGGTACTCTTGGCAGGGCTGAAGGCTTCTTCTGTGTGTCCTGCATGCCTCAGGACAGGACATGAAGCACCTTGCGCTCTCACTTGAGCACAACCACCTATAGCATCCCCAGGTGTTTTGGCAAATCACCCACCACCACCACCAATGGTACACCAGGGCACACTGCACGTGGGGAAGTATGGACATGGAATGTAGAGCATGCCCAGCTGGGTTTGAACTCTATCCTCAGGGCATCAAGGAGCCATCCGAGGACGGTGCAGGAGAAGCTGCTGTCAAAGCTGCCTCCTGTGGGGATGCAGGAGATGACAGCAGGGTTGGGATGTCACAGGGTTCATTTTGGTCCTGCCAATTTAAGTACTTAAGGGGCACTGACCCTGGGCTCTGTGTGTCTGGAGCTCACAGTCTCGCAGGGGAGACACCAGCATGTGAGGAGACAGCGGCATGTGAGGGGCAGCAAAAGCCAGAGGTTTAAGTGAGACATGTCAAGGGTGAGAACAAGAAAAAGAACGAAAGAGCAAAGGGGCAGGGGGGAGAGAGAGATTGAGGATGGGCAGAGAGAGAAGGGGAGAGCTGTGCAGAAGCCCTAGAGCCAGACAGTCCCCTCCTGCCTAACCAGCTAGCAGTTTGGAAGGAAGAAGCCAGCAGAGCAAGATCTCAGAGGTGTGGACATCACAGCTGGTAGAAGTTAAAGAAGATCATAAAGCCACCCCTCTCCACCCCCCCAAAAAGGCCCAGCCTTTCCCTGTTCCAGGAGCTGTGCTGGTCACCAAGGTGGCTTTCAATTCCTGCCTCCATTTTTCCCGACTGCTCTGCCTCCATTTCAGGGCATCTCCATGTCTGCATCCTTCAATGGATGGTGGCCAGGCTGCTGTCTGCCTACCCAGGCTGTGCAAAGGCCCCAGAGCAGACTCTAGGCCCCTGCTCTTGGCCTCAGAGGAGTCAGGCCAACCCTGATGCCCAGTGATGGACAGGGAAGACATGCCCAGGTGGGGCTGCCTGTGTGGGTCTCAGCCAGGAGGTGTTAATATTGGCCAGTTTGGGGCATCACAGGTCAGCCTTCCCGAGGGCCTCTGCTCCATCTTCCTCAGTTCCCTTGGCCAGCTCAAGTTTTGTTCTCTTTCAAAAAAGAGTGCCAAAACTGGCACCTCCCTTGAGTGGGAGGTCATTTACTGGACTCTGCTGGTGAGAGGCAAGGAGGAGGACCTGGGCGCACAGGGCGATGACTGAAGGGCCGAGGAGGAAGCGGCTGAGTGTCCAGGGGGCCTTCCCAAGCACCAAACAGGCCAGGTGGGTTCTAGGCAAGCTGGAGTTCCAGGGCTCATGACCCCATCTTGGGCCTCCTGTCCTGTCCTGAGGGGCCAGAGTTCAGGAAGTAGAGCAGTGGTTCTCAACCTGTGGGTCACAACCCCTTTGGACTATATTAAAAGTTCGTGGCATTAGGAAGGTTGAGAACCACTGGAGTAGAGGGTCCTGCCAGGGTTCCCTCCAGCTCTGCCTAAGGGTGAGGAGGCCCTGGCTGGGCCTTAGGGGTGCTTCTCAGAACCCCCTTCTCTGCGAAGAACTAGTTTCTCCCTCTTGGTGGCATTTTCACAGGGTCTCTGGCCTAGCTGCAGCAAAACCCTGGAAACAAACGGAGTTGCCTGGGCATCTTCAGAACCCTGAAGAAATGCACTGGTTCAGTTATCAGTGGAGTCAGCAGTTATATGCTCAATAAGCCCTCAAAGAAGCAGTTCCCACCAGATGGACACACCTGCCCTGAGTCCCTAGGAAGAGCCACAGGGGGTGGGGGACTGGGCAGGGCAGGCCAGTGTGGGACCCCACCCTCCTACCTCCCCCTGCCACCACTGCAATCCACCAAACCCTGAAGCTGGCCGGGAGAGGAGAGTGAGAGAGGTCCTCTGGTCATGATCTTCCAGCTGCTGCATGATTTAGGGAGCCCCTCTGTGTTGGTTTCCCAGGGCTGCCATGACAGTGCACCACAAACTGGGTGGCTTAGGACAACAGAAATGTAGGAAGATCCTTCCTTCCTTCTTCCACCTTCTGACACGCCTAGTCTATAGTGATGCCCAACACTCCCATCCTCTTGTTGTCTTCCCTCTGTGTCCAATTTCCCTTTTATAAAGATGCCAGTCAGGCTTTGCACTCATAGCTCAGTGATTAGGGTGCTGGCCACATACACTGAGGTGGCAGGTTCAAACCCGGCCCAGGCCTGCTAAACAACAATTACAACAACAACAAAAAAAAAACAGCCAGGAGTTGTGGCAGGTGCCACCATGGCACTCTACCAAGGGCAACATAATAAGACACTGTCACAAAAAAATAAAAAAGATGCCAGTCTTACCAGATGACCTCATTTTAACTTGATCACCTCTGTAAGGACCCTGTGTCCAGTGAAAGCCACAGGCACTGAGTGTTAGGGTTTCCACATCTTTGGGGGGGGGGGAGCACATAATTCAACCCATCACACTGTGCTTTCCAGAAAGCTAATGGCATTACTCTTGCCAGGTAAGCCATACCCCAGATCTCCTTGGCTTTTGTAGAGCTGGGGGGTTGGGGGGGGCATTTGACAGTAAATATGACACTCCTTATCTTACTTATCTGAGAGACAAGGCCCAGGAGACTCACAGGTCCTGCCTCTGCTCGTCCTGGGTTTCCTTGCAAGCTTTCGACCTGGCATTCAGTCAACTCGACTGCCTGCTGACATCAGAATCCTCCTGTTAGCTTCCAGGGGAGCTTTTGGAGTGGGGCTGCCCTCCATAAGCTGTCATGTTAATGTTTCAGCCCAGAAAATGCACTTTAACTGGAATAGATAAGCTGTCACTCAGTGCTGACCATCAGTCCAGGTTACTTTTTGCCACCCACTAAGTGGGAAAAACTCTTCCCACATTTAGAGAATTTTGGGTATCTGAATTGCAGAGAAGGGACTGTGAACCACTGTACAAGGGCTGAAGGAAAAGTATCCAGTCAGGGTGCCACCTGTGGCTCAAAGGAGTAAGGCGTGGTCCCATATGCTGGAGGTGGCGGGTTCAAACCCAGCCCTGGCCAAAAACTGCAAAAAAAAAAAAAAGTATCCAGCCATATACTATAAAAAAAACAGACACACATGGCTAGATACTTTCCAGACAGCTCTCGTAAACTTGGACTTGCTCGTGTACTGTCTTGGAATTATTCTCCAGTGTATCTTCCTAATGTGTTTTCTCTTCCTAACTGGAATATCATCCTCTTCCTCTTCCTCCTTCCCTCCACAGCTGCCTGAGGAAGGGAGAGGACATAACTTCATTATGGTGTCTGGCACACAGTTGGGGCTTTATAGGAGGAGTTGGTGCTTATAATGAACCCATATTAGACAAAGTTGTGCAAGAAGGATTTACTGTCCTAGCACTTTGGGAGGTCGAGGCGGGTGGATTGCCTGAGTTCAGGAGTTTGAGACCAGCCAGACCAGGCATTGTGGCAGGCACCTCTAGTTCCAGCTACTTGGGAGGCTGAGGCAAGAGGATCACGTGAGCCCAAGAGTTGGAGGCTGCTGTGAGCTATAACACCACTAAAAGTGACATTTATTAGAATTTGATGAGCCTGGGGCCTGTCAGAAGCAATGAGAACATTCTGCACAAGCAGACTGTGGGCTGCTGGCTGCCACCACTGTTTCTGCTGAGAATAGCCCGTTGTTGTAGCACAGGGAGGTCTGGTTCTGGGAAGACCTAGAGAGAGCCAGGGGTTTGTACTTTCTGAACTGGCACACATTCTCAGCTAGAACTGCGGAGTTTTTTTGTGTGTGTGTGTCTGCTAATGGAAGGAGCAGAGCTTGGTGTGAACACCTCCCCTACGTGAAACCTGATGAATTGCTTTAGCCAGAGAAACAGCCTGGTTCTAGGAGGCGCTGAGTGCCTTGTGCCAGGTCCATACTCCTTGATAAAGCCTGGACCTCACCAGTGGCAAAGGTCTGTCTGCCTCTTCTATCTCCCACTTCTGGCCTCCAAGTTGTCTAAAATCTGGTTGCCAGGAACATATTATAGCAGTTTAACAAACAGAGCTGAAGGAAAGAAAAAGGCACCAGTGGCTCTCAAATTTATCCAAATCCACCAAGGCTGTGGCACCAGTTGGAGTGGAAAAACAGTTGCCATTTTCAGAGATATGATTCTTCCTTTATCAAAATGAGTTTGAGGGCTGGGTACAGTGGCTCATGCCTATAATCTTAGCACTCTGGGAAGCCAAGCCATGTGGATTGCTTGAGCACAGGAGTTTGAGACCAGCCTCAGCAAGAGAGAGACCCTATCTGTACTAAAAATAGAAAAATTAGCTGGGCTTTGTGGTAGCCGTCTTTAGTCTCAGCTACTGAGGAGGCTAAGGTAAGAGGATCCCTTGAGCCCAAGAGTTTGATGTTGCTGTGAGCCATGATGACACCAAGGCACTCTACCTAGAGTGAGACTCTATCTCCAAAAATAAGAATGA